TGAATCTCTGTGAGTTCAAGGCCAGCCTGGTCTACAGAGTGAGTTCCAGGACAGCCAGGGCTACACAGAGAAACCCTGTCTTGAAAAAACCAACCAAACAAAGCCGAGTGTCAGGAGATACTGGCCAGTAGCCTAGCTGAAAAGGAGAGCTTCAGATGAGAGACACATCTCCAGGGACTAAGATGGAGAGTGACAGAGCAGGACATCTGATGGCCTTCTCTGGCACACATACACACCCCACACAAACACACCATGTACAAATGAAAAACTTAAATAAATTTTAAAAATGGAGCATGGCATGTACCTATGATTCCAGTGCTGGAAGTGTGGAATGGGAGGCTTCTGGGAAGGGCTCCCTGGAATGCCAGTCTAGCCAATCAGTGAACTCCAGGGGGGGACCCTGCCTCAAAAAAATGGACAGTTATAGAGGAGGAGGACATCCCCTGTCAGCCTCTGCCTCCACAGGTTAGGCACACTCACATACATATGTGCATACAACACACAAAATAATATAATACACTCGAAGTTTTCATCATTAACATCTATATCCCCTTCTGAGATCACAGAGCCTGACAAAAAATCAAATTCAGATATTTAAAGACCACTATGATCAGAGTCCTGTGCTTATCCCAGCAGCTCCTTTAAAGGACAGTAAACCACACAGGAAGAGTCTCAGGGGAGAGGGCAGGTGCCTGGCTAGCCAGAATGAAGTAGCAATTTAAAGGAGCAACAAGAGGTGTGTGGGACCCACCAGGATGGTTAGGGGAAATGCTGGGTGGAGAGGGGAGTGTGGGAAAAGCACCTCTGAAGGGTGGGTTGAACTGGATTCATTTTCAGGGGCCGTTCCAGGCTCACAAGACAGAACAGGCAAAGCACCCATGTGTGTGCACCCCACACCTTTTCAGAGCAGCGGAAGCCTCTAGTGCCTGCTGGAACAGAAACCCCTTTGACCCTGGCCTGGTGGAATTCCGTACACAAAGGTGGAGTTCAGGTGGGCAGTGCCCCGAGCTGAGCGGTCACTGCAGAAGTCCCTCTAGTGACTCTGGTGTTAAGCAGAAGGGACTGCAGTGTGAGTCTAAAAACTTAGACTCTGCGTCAAAGCAGCACGGAACCCTGTCTGTGTAGACCCTCCTGCTCTTGAATGGCATGTCCTGTGCAACGCAGGGAAGTCGCTTATGCTGGGGACAGTGGGGTCTCTGCAGCCGTCCAGAGCCTAATGCATGAATCAAGAAAGGAAGGAAAGGCAGCCGGGAGCCTTCAGCATGCTGATGGGCCGGCTCTCTCTGCTCTGGTAATCTTGATTTCACATGTAAAGAACCACATGATGCTGCTGGGCCCGGTAGCCGTGTTCCGGGAAACCTTGACACAGAGTTTCCAGGCAGTGGAGACCAAGGAGGAGGAAGAAACACACTTCCCCAGGCTTCAGCTGGCCATGGCAGCTTCTGCCAGTCAAAAGGATGGGTGAGGCTTGAGAGGAATGGAGAAAAACACAACAGAAGTGGTGAAGAATGTCCCCATCATGCCACAGGTCAGATCAGAAGAGACGAAGGATCACATTAGGTCCCTAAAGTCAGGAACAGAGGGACACCTTGAGAGGGGAGTTCCAGTCTTATTTTGCTATTCAAATGGTATGTTTAGGTTTTTAAGACGCTAGGATGCGGAACATTGCTGTGTAGACAGTTTGCTCCTGCAAACCACAAAGAATTGCGTCTGAGGCAGTGTCTCCCTTTAGGTTCTGTGGTAATGAAGGCCAGGATGTGGCTTGGCAAGGATCTGAGGCACGGTCCTTCCCTGTATCACCCCAAAGCAATGACCGTCCCCTTCCATGTCCACATGTTCATCTGCAGGAGATGGGCTGGATCAGAGGGCCTTGACCAGGGAAATCTGTGAGGAGTCTGAGATTACAGGCGGAATCCTGTGTTCATGTGCAGATTGGCTTTTTTTTTTTTTTCCTGAAAAGAGGAATTCATAGTTGTCACCAGTTTTTCAAAGGGACTGTGACCCTCAGTGATTGTTCAGCTCCCAGGCTACCTTCCCATTTTGCTCTTTGCAGATTCCTGTCAAGGCCAGCCAGACAAGCAGCTCAGGAGGAGGCAGTCACTCACCGGCAGGGTGTTTGCCCGTGTGGGGGAGGGAAAGGAAGCGTCCTCCCAGTGGGACTCTGCCCGGCTCCCACCAGCTGTCAGGCAACCCTTTAACCTCTCAGCCTGTCCCCAATGAGGGTCGTCACTCAGGAGAGGCGGGTGAGGGCCACAGGCACCCACAGCTACAATCTGGGCTCAGTGTGGAAGATCGTTCTATGCATTTAGAGCATTTCCTAGAGCTTCCCGTGTCTAAGCTCTATTTAATGGAATCTATGCATAGTAAGTAATCAGGTCAGAAGAAAGCAGCGTCCCGGTTTGAGATCAATCGCTGGCTAATACTTTATCGAGGCCACTTTATTATCTCATGCTGATCTGAATCCATTCTCCTCCTCCTTTGTAGCACACACTTCGGCTGTGGGAAAAGTACAGATCCCATACATATTAAAAACATATACCCATTCTATCTGTATGTAAATGCGTGAGGCACAGCTGGATATTGCAGAGGAGTTTGATTTACTAATAGTTATTATCTGTTCTCGCCGTTCAGTGGCAGAGAGAATTTCAGAAAAACAAGCTGGCACAGAAATTGTCTTTATGCTATTACTATCCTGCTTCGGTAACTGTTTAAAAACATGGGTTTTCTCTGTAGGCTCTAATAATGCCTGTCGTTTCCCTGTGTCTCTCTCTGCATTCCAGAACAGGGTATCCTGTGTTAGTCTCGTCCCCAGTTTGGTTTTTCTGTTCCTAAGAAGCAACCTGGGGCTCAGTTTGCTGTTGGAATGTCACAATTTGCTTAGGAACCATGTAAATCTTGGGACTGGATATACAAGCAGGGGTGGGCCTTTGCGGGGGGTGGGGGGGTGTTCAGCTGTAATCACAACAGGGTTTTGGATGCTTGCTCCTCCACCTGATTCCAGCTGCAGACACGCCGGCCTCGGATTTCTCCATAAAGGCTTTGTGTGTGAGAGGTGGGAATGTTTGGGGGCTAATAAACACCAAACTGCTCCAGAAAAATCTGTTTAAACATTTAATTACTTGCAAAGAGATGTTAACTTGTTTAACTCCTCTAAATTAAATTGTCACTGGTAGCTTTTCTGTTTGCTTGAACCTGATTGTAATTACATTTTCAAATACTGTGGTTGGTTATTCTCTCAATTAATCAAAGTGTATGATAAATCAGACATCGGCACAGTCTCTTTCAAAGAGTGAAGGGATGCCGGGTTAGACGTTGGTCCTTCCTGCACTGAGATCCCAGTATGACTTTGGGGTTTACACACGTCTTTGCTTGCCAGAGACACAGACCTTCTGATCACTGCAAAAGGCAAAATACACTTGGCAAACTAAGATGATTTCTATTCTGCTATTTTAATACAAGAACATTCATTAACCAGAAAGACCCAAAGGAAAGGGGGTGACCAGGGTTTTATGGCAGCAGGGAAAGGAGCTGAAGAACGGCAGAGAAGGGTTCATCTCTGAGACCAGGGGGTCCTCTGTGGTTGACACAAAGGTGGAAAGATGCTCAGCTTTCTGGAAGCACAGGACCCAGCCTGCCCAGCATCACCTCCACATCCTACTAAAGAGGGGACGGCCAGAAAAGATGCATTCCCACAGCCCCTGGGTGCTCAAGGACCAGGTGCTGGGGGAAACCTGTACTTTTTAAAATACTAAGAGTGGTTAGCAAGCGCTTGTGAATGTGAATGCCATTCACTACATCTGGCTCTTGCCTGTGTCAAGTGCAATATGTCTGTTGTTTCCTCCTCCTCCTTCCCCTTCTCCTCCCCCTCCCCCTTCCTTGAGGTCCTCCTCAATCTCAATCCCAGAATTACAAACCTGTACCAACATGCCTGCCACATACACACCTGGTTTTAGGATGTTCCTGAGTGTCTGACTCATTCTTGCTTTGGGTTCTATATTTGGCCCATACACTCGTTAGCTGTGGCACGCAGAACTTGCAGGCAGAAGTCCTGACTGGGACCTTCCAGCACAGAAGTCACTGCCGGGTGGTGGTGGCCCCAAACAGAGTCCAACTGACAACCATGCCGTCCTTTTTCCTCGGGTTCTAAAGGCCATTAGAGTAATGTTTGCGTTTCCTTATGCATAGGAATCCTCTAGTAAAGCTCATGTTAGCACTTTAACTGCATATAATTACGACGCCAGAGTCACCGTCTGGGTGCTTGAGACAACGCTAAATCAGTCAGCTTTAATTTGAATTTCTGATAGCATGTTAGCACTTCAGTAAGACGGATTATAACCCTAGGAAACAGGCTTCCTTCCTCCTTAGATGTGGTCATGATGAGACTTTAAAGAATAAGCACATGTGTACATGTGTGTATATGTGTGTTTATAGGTGTTTATGTATACATGTATGTGTATGTGTGTGTGTGTGTGTGTGTGTGTGTGTGTGTGTTTTATGCATGCACATGACAAGGAAAAGGTCTAGCCTAAGTCATGGTGATCTGACAGTTGGAGTTTCCAGGTGAGGATAACTCCCCCATCTTCAAGTCAGATCCCTTTCTCTTGTAATTACATGTATGTGTTTGTTTGTTTGTTTGGTGTATGTGCAAGCATCATGGCACACATGTGGATGTCAGAGGACAACTTTTCAGGGATCCCTTCTCACCATGTGGACCCCGGGGATTAAACTCTTTAGACGGTCAGGCTTGGCAGCAAGCACCTTCACCACTGAGCCACCTCGCTGGCCTCCCGTCCGATCTGTTGTTACAGCTGTGGCTCACCTGTTTGCGCCTGCAGCTGTCTGAACACGGGCCTGCAGTGTTCACGTTCGATGGGGCTGTCTCCTTCCAGCATCTCCTTCCAAGGCACAGTGCGGCATTGCAGTCACAGCCCACGAGGAAGGAGGTTCCCTTAGGTGTGGTAGAAGTGGTTGGCCGCCTCTCCCCTTCAGCTTCCCTGGGGGCTGAGGGGCCGCGCCGTTAGCCTGCATCCCCTCATTGGGTGCACTAAGATGTCTGCAGGTGCTGCCTTGGGTGTCCAGCCTAGAAGGCAGCCCTGTTCCTCCCTGAGGTCTCCTCCCGCTTTACCTCTGGCAGGGCTCCCTCCCTACTCTGTGCAGTCCATGGTGACACGCTCATCTGTCCAGAGCCAGTCAGTGTGTGCAGAGGCAACCCTCACAGCTCGTCAGAATCATCTGAGAGGTTTAGAGTAAGAACTGTGAGGGTTCTAACTAGACTGAGCACCTCCAACCCTGTGGTCAAGGAACAGATAGGTTTTATTTTGTCTTTTACAGCCCTCTGGGTGATTAAAAAGAGCAGCCAGAGGAGAAGCTTGCTGTTTAATAAAACTCACTTTTTTCCCTGACTAGATTGGAAGTCTGCTGAAGGAAGAGTATGATCTCATAATTCAGTGCCTATCTCGGGCCTTGCCTGTCAATCAGGCTAAATGCTATTGCTCATACTTTGCGTGCACCATTCTCGCTAATCCAGTCAACAAATGCGCTCTGACAGGAGCAGCTGAAGACCAACAGGATAAGTCCCCAGAAGAAGCTCACCCAAGGACAGGCGATCCCTGGAAATGATGACACACCCATACGATAGTACATGGTCTGATTAAAATTTTTTGTTTGACTCCCTGCTGGGAGAGCTCATCCGGCTGTAGTCAGCTTCCTAGGACATTACTGTGTTCACAGGATGATATTCAAAGCATTACACAAAGCAGCAGGACAGGGCCGTTCACAGCAGAGCAAACACTCTTGTCTCAGTCCTGCCCTGGAGGTGGGAACCGCCTGGAGTTCAAGGCAGGTGTTGCTCCACACCACTGTCTTTTGACCACCGGAGAGCTCACCTCCAACCGTTAATTCCAAATCAAGAGGCCATTCTCAAGCCAAGGCCTGGAGGAGATCTTCTGGCCAGCACCCTCTTCTCCCGATGAGATAATAGCCGGAGACCCCCAGGTCTCTATGGTCAGCACAGCAGCTGCACACCACCCTCGTGCCCCAGTGCTCAGGGGAGTAGTGGTCAGGGTGCCGAAGCCCAGAAACGGTTAGTTGTTGAAGGTACGAAAGGATCTGAAAGCCAGTCCCCGGGACTTGGCAAACGCTGTTGAAGATAGCAAAGTTGTTTCCCCTGTGAGAACACACTGATAAATAGATGCAATTCTTATCAATTATTAATGCGACTAACCAGCAATGTCAGGGGCTGGGGAAAAAAATATGAGAAGCCTCCTGTTTACAGTTGTAGCCAGCTGGATTTGTTTAATGGGTTGTTTGCTTTTTAATTTGTAGCAGTTTTGAGCGAGACCTTTGGGGACTGGGAATCTTATGGCTTTGGATACAGTTATGGGGGTGGGGGGGGGCGCTAAACCTGTCTGCAGATAATGTGAGGTTCACATGGCCATTTAGAGACTGTAGGAAGGCAGTGCAGACATTTGGGCCTTCCGTCCTCTATTTAATTTTCAAGATTCGAATTAAACATCAGGCCCTGGTCTACCGAGAGACATTTGCTGGAGCATGGACTAGTTTCTCCTCCGCATCCTGCTTTACCGCGCCGCGCTCTCGGTACAAATGGTCACCGATTCTGAAGTTGGAGAACAGGAACCCTTCATTTATTCCAGCAAAGGTTCCCCTGGTACAAATAAAAATGGAATTTTCAAATGTAACCCGATTAACTCTTAATTGTACACCAATAGCCTGTGTTTGTCTTGGCTCCCACAGAAGGCTGTCGGCACGACCTGCGTCTCTGTCTCGAGTTGCGGGGGGAGGGGGATTCAATTACTAGCAGGACTTTCTAATTGTGGGATCGGTGTGGAGTTGACAAAAATTTGTATAAATAGGGTACATTTTTCTACTTAAGAGGGCTGTGCTGAGACATTTTTTAATTGGATTTTCATGGTGATTGACAGCATTTGATTATGACAGTAACTTTATTTGGCTGGACTGCTTTAGCCCCTGTTCAGATTTCCCATCAAAGCTCCTTTTCATCGTCTCAATCCCCGGCGGAGCAGCAGTCATTGTGGAGGAGCCTTTTAGCACCTTTGTTGTCCGCTCCCTGGTGATGATTGGGCCCAGCTGGTAGTAGATAGGAAAATGGGCCTTTCACAAAGAGGCTGCGGCTCCCGCCTCTGTGGCTTCAATAATTTTAAGAGCCCCCCAAACCTGTTGAGGATTAGAAGTAGCTTTAGATGTGAAATGAGTGTTAAGTATTAGTAATCGGGAGATTAGGGCCCCAGGGACCACGAGAGATAAACAACCGCAATTAAGGCAAATCTGCCGATGTAAACAAAATTTAGCAAAAGCAGATGCCCTCGCCATTTTGGGGATTGATTTGAGGGCACCGAGGAATCGATTTTTGTCTTGTTTACACTTGCAGACCCCTGTGATATACTGGAAGGCTAAATATTTCATACCGCCTGATTTTAGTTAATTTTTTTTCCAGTGCCTCACAGTAGGCGCCTCTCTTCTCACAGTGACCAGGCCTGAGTTTATTCAGCGTTCATAGGGAGCAGCTAATTGTCTATGAAGGGCCCCCGTGTTTAAATGGGCTTGACAGGAATTTAAATTTTGTTTCAATCAACCCCTGTGCTCACAGCCTGCTCCAGCTTCTAATTTTTAAATTAAACATGATTTTTTTTAAGCCACAGCCTTGCCTCTGGAATGATCTCCCTCTAGCTTTCGGAAGGCAGACCGGCAACCCTAGAAGCTGGCAGATGCTGAAAGGGTCTTTCTCCAGAGCAGGGCTGGCCCCCTGTCAGGAGGTCTGCAGAGCCTGGGCTGGGCTCCTGAAAGTGGGTTAAGCACCGGGAGGCAAGAATGGTGGGCTTTGGGACCAGTGAGATGATAGCCTCCTGCACTCATGGTCCGGGCCATTTCAGAAGCTTTCTCTGCTGTGGAGAGAGCATTTCAGTGAGCACTCCCCAAGTTTGTGTCCTGAGCCCCAACTCAGTACAGAGTATCCCACCCAGATGGGGAAAGGGGGCACCATGTGGTCCCTGGGTCCTGCAGCCTAGCAGGAGAGATGAGGTAAATCAGCTACTCATGATGGAGTTGACGGGGACACACACACACACACACACACACACACACACACACACACACACACGTCCCTTGCCTCAGCTGCCCGGCTCTGGCAGTCTCTGGGTGCCTGCAGCATTGCCCTGTGCTCTGCCACGGCCCACTACCAGTC